AATTTACCATGTGTATGTTTATAATGATTAAAGATATAAAAGAAGAAATCCAAACCCTAAAAAAAGAATTATAACCTTTATATTTGTCAATGTTAACAACCAGTGCTAGCTAGACTATCAAAAAAGCAAGTAGGAAGTAATCAGTGCTGGCTACAAGATCACACAACCCCCAAATCACACAACAAAGGATATCTCTCATTTATACTAGAGTTTGATCGGGAGTTTAGTAGTGGCTTTGCATGTGCTAAATAAGGATTTTTGGCTCCTTCCATCTTGTGGCATTACTGATGAGGGAACAGAAGGCAATTTGAGGACAAAGCAGAAGCTGACACCCCACAACACCCCCTTCCCCAGATGGGATATATGTGACATTCCTTAGGCACTCCTGGCTGCCCCGAAGCTAAGGAAAGGAAAAACAGAGATCACAATCCTGCAAGGCTGAGTCTCCTGAGTCTCCCTCAGTTTACAAATGTCTTAGCAATCTATAAGAACAAAGCATTTCTATCAATAACCTAGCTTCCAGAAGGAAGTGCAGATACAATTAAATGTCCTTATAACCTGCAGCCCATTGACAGATACTTGAAGTGGGCAGTGTTATGTTCCTCCAGAAAGCTCCCAACTATCTTCATGTTAATGCCTTGCTAGAGGAAAAAACAACCCTAACTTGACAATGACAAGGACTGAGGTATCCTGTGAGTCTTCTTTAACATATGAAAATCCTTTTGAAACGTCCCCTTCTTTTCCCTTCCCCAACCCCATAGTATACAATCAGCCATCCCTCACAACCCTGCTGTGGCAGCTCTTTCTGCCCCCGGGTCCTGTCCCCGGGCTTTAATAAACCACCATTTTGCACCAAAGACGTCTCAAGAATTCTTTCTTGGTCATCAGCTCTGGACCTCACCTCACCAAACCTCAGCTATATTCCCAAACCACATCAATTAGCATTTCCTAAGATCTTCTCTGAAGGATTGAGCATGCTGACAAGTATCTCATAGGATGTTTTATGAGCTTAGAGGTAGGACACAACACATTCCCATACATACTATTGTCCAAAACACCACCACAAAGTACCAGCCAAATTGCAAAGGATTGGGAAATGTAGGAAATGAGAAACAGGACTGGTGAGCCATCTGATCTATCTCTACCTATACGTAAAACCTTGAAACTTTTTTTTTTTAACAAAAGGGTTTTATTTTTATTTATTTTTAAAGATTTTATTTATTTATTTGACATAGAGAGAGACAGCTAGAGAGGGAACACAAGCAGGGGGAGTGGGAGAGGGAGAAGCAGGCTCCTGGCTGAGGAGGGAGCCCGATGTGGGGCTCGATCCCAGGACCCTGGGTCATGACCTGAGCTGAAGGCAGACGCTTAACGACTGAGCCACCCAGGTGCCCCAAAACCTTGAAACAGTTCTAATTAGAAATGATAGAAATAGTACGTAAAGACATTCATTTTTTCATTTCATGTAAATAGATGACAGAGAGACAGGAGACCGATTTCCTATGTTATCCTGGCACTGTTTCAATTGCTGGAGATAGGCGGAGTGAACAAAAAACCCACTGATCCTACGCCTGTGAAACTTACAAAGCCTACCTGTGGAAACACACAAGCACTGAAGGATTAGTGAGAGAACTGCCAAGTGCTTTAAAAATGAAGCAGTATAAAAGGATGCAGAGAGGTAGCCATACTAGATAGGGTGTTCGAGAGAGTCCCTCCACCCCCAGCCCAGAAGGTGAAATTTGAGAGAGACCTTTCACCTTCTTGTTGCTAAATTCAACATTTATTTGTTCCTATTTCATTCTGTTGATCTATTAGCAGCATTTGGATCTGCTGTGCATTCTCTTACTTAAAAAAAATGTTTTACTTGACTTCCAAGGCGTAACCCTCTACTGTTTTATTCCTGTCACTGTTTCCTAACACTGCTATCATAAAATACCACAAACTTAGTGGCTTAAACAGTACAAAACTGTTATTGTGCAATTCTCGAGGTCCAAAGTCCAAAATGGGTCTCACTGAGCTAACACGAAGGTACCAGCAGGGCTGCGTTCCTCTCTAGAGGCTCACGGAGAGAATCCATTTCCTTGCCTTTTTCAGTTTCAAGAAGCTGCTCAGTCTCTTTGGCATGTGGCCTCCTCCTTCTGTCTTCAGAACCAGCAGTTTTGCATTTTTCTATTCAATCTTCTGGAGTCAAATCTCCCTCTGATGACTTCTGTCTCCTTCTTCTACTTTTGAGAACACTTATGACTGCATTGAACCCATGCAGATAATCCAGGATAAGCTCCCATCTCAAATACTTAAAGTTGTCTACAAACCCTCGCTTGCCATGGAAGGTAACATATCCCCCAGTTCTGAGATTAGGGTGTGGATATATTGGCGGAGGTGGGGGGTGGCGGGAGAAGATGCATTATCCTGTCCACCACACTCACAGACTGCTTTTCTCAGTTTTCTTCCTACTCTTTCTGACTTTTCACATGGAGTATCAGGGCAGCTATACAGCTGTACTGATGGTTAGAATATTGAAATATTTTAATGTTGATTGTTGAGTAGCCTTAACAATAACCTTACCAATAACCTTGAGCCCCAGACATTTCTGCCTTCTGCCCTGAGCCCCTGACCTACCCTGAGGACCTCATATCCCTGATCCCACTACTCAAAGTAAATAATGTCTCGCATAACTAGAGGTCTTTGAGGATTGGTCAATGCTCCTTCCTTACCAGTTGTTAAGTATCTTGAATAGCCTTCCTGCGAGTGTCTATTCCTTAGGTATGGTCATTTTCTTGGTGATTTAATCCAGTCTTAAGAATTTAATATCATCTAAATGCTGATGACTCAAATTTTCACTTTTAGACTAATTCTTTTTCCCAAAGCCTCAGAATCCTATGCGGAACTATTCAACATCTCCGTAAACATGTGATAAACATTTAAAACACAGTTCATTTGGAAGTGAAACGCTGCTTTACTTCTTACCTCAGTTTTGCCCAATCCCACTGTCTTCTGTCTTACAGGAAACATCAATTCAATCTATTGGCTTTCTCTTAAAAACAGGGGACTCTCTCTTGCTGCCTCTACTCTTAGCAACCTGGTCCAAATCACCACTAGCTTTTACCTGTTATTTCAGCGTCTTCTGAATTCTCTCTCTTGTTTCCTTTGGCCTTTTCTCAACATAGCAGCAAGAATGAATGATTACAGACTTTCCTGCTCAAAACTCTCCTGTGGCTTCCCTTCTCACCTAGGGAAACCAATGTCCTTCCTTTGGCTTAGATCACCTTTATAATCTCTGCATCTCCTGTTACCTCTCTGCAATTATCTCCTTTTACTTTCCCTCAGCCTCACTGATATCTTTATTCTTCAAATAAGCCAGGATGCTCTCTGCATCTGGAAACTCTGCCTTTCTGTTTGTACTTGCCGTTTCCTGTTTCCAGAACAGTCTTTCCACAGATCCACATAGCTCGATCCTTTATGTTCTTTCACTATTGACTTAACTATTACCCTATTATGGAGTGCTTTCCTTAACCACTATATTAAAAATTGTGTACCTTAACACTTCAGTTCCCCCTTCCTATTTTATATTTCCTCCTAGCATTTTTCACTTTCTAATGCACTATATATTTTACTTAATTTATGCTGTGATTTATATCTCCTCCCACTAGAATATGAACTCTATAAGGGTAGAGATCTTAGTCTGGTTTGTTCACTGCTTATCCCAGGGTCTAGAGCAGGGGTCCAGTCATTCATAGTTAAAACTTGAAAAATTAAACAAGACACTGGTGCGCATGGGCTCATGCGCGCGCGTGTGCTCTCTCTCAAATAAATAAATAAATTTAAAAAAATTAGACTTTAAAACATAATAATAAAGAAAAGGTAAAAATCAAGGTTTAGAGATATGAAATTGTAATATGTTAATAATGAGTGTAGAAAACAAGTCCAACTTCTCTGTAGATAATTAGTGAAAATATATCACAAATTTTAAATACGCATATATTTGGGTACTGTAAGTACTCTTATTAAAACCTATCCTAAGGAAAGAATTAATAGTGTATGCAAAGATTTGTCAATAAGGAAAGCTACCAAAGTCTTGTTTATAATAGTGAAAAAGGGGCGCCTGGTGGCTCAGTTGGTTAATAGTGTGCCTTCAGCTCAGGTCATGATCCTGGGGTCCTGGGATTGAGCCCCGTGTTGGGCTCCCTGCTCAGGTGGGGAATCTGCTTCTCCCTCTCCCTCTGCCTCTCCCCCTGCTAGTGCTCTCTCTCTTTCTCTGTGTCAAATAAATAAATAAAGTCTTAAAAATATATATAATAGTGAAAAAAATTTTAAATCAAAACCTTCAAATTTTTAAATATAGAAACTTAATTAAACAAAAGGAAGTGTATTTATACAATGGAGCAGTATGGAATCATTAAATTTGTATTTAGATAAATTCTCATTGACATAGGAACTATTTGCAGTATACTGATAAATGGAAAGAAACAGTCTGTAATGTGCTGAATGACGTTATTTTTGAAGAAGAAACGTATATCCTTGCATTTAGTCTTACAGAATGGACAGTCGTTAACAATGTTAATGGAGCGGGCATGTCTCTCCTACTTATGTAATTTAAAAAAAATTTATTTTAAAATAATGATCACATAGCACTCATACTGGGAAAAGTCAAAATTATATTTGTACTGATCTTCAAAAAGCCATTAATATTATACGTGTAAAGGATTTTAAGTGTGAATTGTATATAAATATTCCCCTTCATGGCATTTTATGTGTTTGTGATGAATGTCCTGCATTAGTAAGTAGGGCCTAAGGCTCAAAATTTATGGAATAATCTCTTTGGGTATTTTAGTTTTTTGAACTCTAACCTGTGGAAGCTGTCTGGCTACCAGTAAGACTATCGAAAAATGCCTTTAACGTGACTGCTGACAAGATCATTAAATTTATACCATGCAATGAATCTAATATTTTACCTCAGAGATTTGACTTACAACTAACCCACCTCCCTGCTCTGTCTCTAGGCAGTACTACTTTGGCAGTAATGTGCAACCTAGTTCCGTGGAGCAGAAGAAGGGGAAATTCCCAATCTGGCCAGAATGGAGCGAGGCGGACATAAACGCAGAGAAGTGGGATGCAGGCAAAGGTGGAAAAGAAAAGGACAAAACAGGGAAAAGCCCTCTATTTGTAAGTCTGCTTGAGTGTGATGAGAGTTCATCTTAGTCTTAAATTTTATAATAGAAGCAAATGAGCAAATGAGTGGAAAGCAACAGATTGGAAGCTAAATAACTGAGAAAATATTTCATGATGCTATGACAAGAGATCAGAATTTAGGGTATACCAAGGTGAAAGAACTCAGAAACTCCATCCTTTCAGTTTGTACCCCAACATGGCTGTACTGAGTAAGGGAAAACCAAACCTACACCAATCCTACCAAATCCTGAGACCCAGTGTTGACAGGGTCAAGTTCATTTTGTACTTTGCCTGCCAGAAAGGAATGAAATCCTCCTCTCTGGAGGAAAAGATCATTACCTAGCACTCGTGTACATTTTTATATGCAACATATATCATACAATCAAAATTTACCACACCTGAAAAGAAAAAGACTAAGTGGCTGAAAAACAAGAGGAAAAATTAAATAATAGAAATAGATCCACAGGTGACTCTGATTTTGGAATTGTCAGATAAGAGACCTTAAAATAACTGAATTAATATTTGTAAGGGAAAAAAAAAAAAAAAAACGACATGAGGCAACCCCAGAAGTCTAGCATGGCTCTTGGAAACTTCAGTCTATTGTTCAGAGACTCATTCTTTGATCATTTTGACTAGATGTTGGGATTGCCTTTGTTTTCATTCAAAGTTTTCCAGTATCTTAAATATGCTTCAGATACACATAGACACTTTGTGTAAAGCTCAGACAGTACCCTCAAATATAACCCATTTCTCAGGTCACACTAACATTCGGATAAAAATATGATTACCATAAAAATCACAAAATGGTATTTACTTGACCCTGTCACTATTAACTCAGGTGAAAATCTTTTTCTCAATACAGATAGTTTCTATTCCTACAGCATTGTTTTTGTACTCCCAGCACTTTCTATTCCTACAGCATTGTTTTGTACTCCCAGCACTTTTCATTTTCTGTAAGGACCACCCCCACAACCTAACTACCTTAGGAACTGTGAGAACTTTTACATAGTAGCTACTTGAAGTCTAATTTACTATATTGCTAGCCTTTGAGAATAGACATTTGGATATCATTCTTTTTCCAGAGCTCACTAATTGACCCATACTAAGGGCTCAAAAATTAATAAATTAATTACATTCTTGGGCATTTATCTCAGAGAAATAGAAACTTATGTTCATATAAAAACTTGTAAGCTGTATGCAAAAATTTATAGTAGCTTTATAAGTAATAGCCCTAAATTGGAAACAGCCCAAATATCCTTCAATGGACAGATGGTAAACAAACAAATATCCATATCGTGAAATGTTACTCAGCAATAAACAAGAACAAACTTTTGATACATGCAACAGCTTGAATAAATTGAATATCTAGGGAATTAGGCAGAGAGGGGGAAAAAATAATCCACAAGGTTACATGCTCTATGATTCCATTCATACAACATTATTTTTTTTGAAGATTTATTTATTTATTTATTTGAGAGAGAGAACATGCATGTGAAAGTAGAGGAAGGGGCAGAGGGAGAGTGAGTGACAATCTCAAGCAGACTCCCCACTGAGCACAGAGCCCAAAGCAGGGCTGGATTTCACTACCCCAAGATCATGACCTGAGCTGAAACCAAGAGTCAGAGGCTTAACCAACTGAGCCACCCAGGTGCCCCTCATATAATATTATTGAAATGACAAAAAGAGACTAGATTAATGATTGCCAGGTGGTAGGGATTAAAAAGGTGGTAAGGAGGTTGGAGGGTGGGCATGGCCATAAAAGGTCCTAGGAAGGATCCTTGTGCTGCTGGAACCATTCTTTATCATGCCTGTGTCAATGTCAGTATCCTGGTTGTGAAATTGCGCTGTGGTTTTAGAAGATTTTACCACTGGAGAAACTGAGTGAAGAGAACACAGGAACTCTCTTTATTATTTCACAGCATGAGGTGTGTATCTATAATGATCTCAAAATAACATGTTTAATTTTAAAAATTAATAAATGAAAGTCAGATCCAAGGTACAAATTTCATTGGCATACGATTGTATTTATGATTTTTTAATCTTCTCTACTCAAGTTAAAAAAAAACCCATTATTTTCAGTGGAAAATATGTCCATATCTGGCCCATTCAAATTGTTTTCCTACCATACCTACCGCACATTACAAAGCAGCTCATGCTCGTTTGGACTGCTTCTTCTGCAACAAAATGTTACTCAACAATCGAGGTTTCGTTCATTAAATACAGTATTATTAACTTCACTATTCACCAAATACTCCATGAACTAGCTCTGAGAGCAATTACACAAATTGCTCTATAAATGTGTATTTATTGATCCAATCTATGCACTTACTAATTTCTATTAGGACTGAGTTGCTTTCATTGTTTTAGAACCGTATGGAGAAAAAAAACTCAATATATTTTTTATATAGCATTTTTTTGAAGACCCTGAAGGAAAGATTGAATTACCACCATCGTTGAAAATTTATTCCTGGAAACGTCCACAGGATTTTTTAATTAATCGGGTAAGAAATATTTTCACTATCGAACAAAATACATGTTAGCTGTAGGTTATAATATCCTAGTTATGAAAATTCTCATTTTTAAAACAACGTAGGGTAAATTTTTCCCGTGGTATTCAGTAAGAAAAAGGAATTACTTTTTGGCATTTAATAGAAATAAATGTTTATCAGCATAGTTTAATATCACTTGTACTGGCTCCCAAGAGAATATGAAATTTTGTTTAGAGTCTTGAGTTTTCTTCCTTTCTACATGATATCAAAGGAGAGCCTAAAATGTGTGGGAAGTTATTCTTTAATTTCTGACTGACAGAATTTCCCTTTACTGCTGCTTAGCAGGAACTTATGTGGCCCGAAGGTCTGTTTACTATAGTGTTTATTAGCATTAGTTTCTAGCCCAGGAGATTTGCACTTGGCTCTCTGCATTCCAGGTATTCCTGAAGCATTTTCCAAGGGCCATCTTCATTTCTGGACTCGATGCTCAGCAACTTGAATCACATTGGCTGGGACATCACCAGAGAACATCCTTTTAAATAGCACTATGTACATGAAAACTTTAGATCCACTGGTCTGTCTTCTTAACAGCCATGTTGGTTTGAATATATTTGCTGTTTCCAAGGGCCTAATTATCACCAATTCCTTTTTTTCCTTTATGAATCTCCTATCATTTTCATTTAATGCATGGAAAACCAGTAGGCTACAATAATTATTTAGTGTTAATCAAATGGTTGTAAAGGAGCTGATTCTTCCATTTATTATAGAATCCATTGAATCTCAGTTTCACACAAAGTGATTTTATTCCTAAAATTTTTAACCTTTATAAGCACTGCTACTATTGCAAGAAAATACAATTTATCCACCATACTTCCAATTACCGTTACTAGCTGAGAAAGATAATCCTAAATTCAAAGATATTTAGTAAAATGAAAAAATAAGGTATATTTCAACAGAATATTTATTGAATGCCTACTTGTAAGATATTTTAAATAAATCAGATGTATATGAACATGTCTTTAAATTACTTATAATGTTAGATAATATTGGCATGAAGAATATAAATTCTTTGGTGTTAATATAGTGCACTTAATAATAGCGTACTAGTAATAATATTCAGGCTCTGTGCAATGGCAGTGCAGAGTTTACGTTCCATGCAAATAAAGGATATTAAGTCCCTGAAGTGAGAGCATTTCAAATGTGAATAAGTAGGAAAGTTTTACACCACCTTTTCCTTTTTACATACCTTTCTTTTTACACCACCTTTTCTTTAACATAACATTCTGAGAGATAATGCTTATATTATAAGTAAATTCATCCATTGTTTTTTTTTTTTTTAAGATTTTATTTTTTATTTATTTGACAGAGAGAGATACAGCAAGAGAGGGAACACAAGCAGGGGGAGTGGGAGAGGGAGAAGCAGGCCTCCCCACTGAGCAGGGAGCCCGATGCGGGGCTCGATCCCAGGACCCTGGGTTCATGACCTGAGCCGAAGGCAGACATTTAATGACTGAGCCACCGAGGCGCCCCAAATTCATCCATTGTTGATGATGATGACACTTCTCCCTACCTTTATCGTAATGTTGCCGCCCATCTCAACACCTCTGTTCTGTGCTGACTTTTTCTCTTTATCTTGTGCACGGACTCCCCCTGAAGTATGGACCAGAACAGCCACAGCTGAAAGTCTAGCTAACTAGGATAGTCTTAGAATAATGTTTTTCAAGTTTTAATGTCTAGATCCACGGTGGTAAATACATTTTACATTGAAGCTCATTAAATGTGGGCATATAGAAAGCTTAGACAAAAATTTAGCAAAACAATAATGACCTTTCTGTGTGAGATTTACTCTATTTTACTCTAAGCCAAAGGTGAAGTCAGAGGACATGATTTAAGTCAGAGAGAAGCTAAATTATGAAAAAACTTAAAAGCCTGGACTTAAGATATCAGAATCAACATGGATTATACAACTGAGGAGGTTAATAAACGCTGACCACTGAGGGAATGATCAGATTTGTTTATTTCTGAGAATCAGGTATTGATGGTTCAGGTCCTTGAGTGATGATTATATTGAATAGATGTAAGATGTCCGGAGATGTATTCTGTCTCAAGTACAGGTATAGGGAATAGAGACCTCCGTAGAGACTTCTTTCTTAATATTTGCTGTCTTTTACACACCATCAGTTTTTATTTTATATTTGTTGGCAGGCAAATATTAAATTTCGCTCCTCAAATTTTAGTTATTCAATATTTATTTAATCCATAATCAATTTTAATGTTCGTTGGTACTTGCTGAAGAGTATGGGCATTTTATTTTTTTAGTTTTTAAAGATTTTATTTATATGACAGAGAGGGACACAGTGAGAGACGGAATGCAAGCAAGGGGAGTGGGAGAGGGAGAAAAAGGCTTCCTGCGGAGCAGGAAGCCCGATGCCGGGCTCAATCCGAGGACCCCGGGATCATGCCCGAGCCAAAGGCAGACGCTTAACGACTGAGCCACTGAGGTGCCCCGAGTATGGGCATTTTAGAAGTGCAATTAGCCAAACCAGAATTTAAAATATACGTTTTTGTATAAAATATTTTATATAATACATATATGTACCTTATTATGATCATAAATTATAAACTAAGAGTCAATTCAGGCCTTCAGGGTAGCTTGGAGTTAATTTTTCTCAGACATAAAGAAATATTTTATTGAGTTTTCAAGATGCTAGTTATACATGTGATTGAGAATAGTTGAAGGCATTAGTTTCCATGAAAATCTATTTTATTAATGAAAACCGCATTTATGTTAATTTGATATGTTAAGTATATAAGCTCGATATGAATTGTAACAAATTTTTAAAAACTGTTATAAATAATATTTTCCCTTATTATGTTTATTCCTTAGTGGTCTAAATATATAAAAGCATCTTTAGATATATGCCAATTAAATAATGACCATCAGATGATTTTTTTAAGAGATAAGAGGATTTGAAATTGGGCAAGATTTTAAAAAGCTGTCATACCTAATATTTTTTATCAAAGGGATGAAGATATTTTTCCTGCTAGCATGTGTTAACTAAGCTTCAGGTTTAACTTGAAAGATTAATTTAAATTTCAAGTCATTTTTTAAACTCTCAGATTGTGTGTGTATGCATGCTGAGATCATCCGCATATATTATATCTTACAACATTTCATTTGTATATGAAAATACTGTGTTTGATAGGCATTACATTATTAAGTGAATGTCACCCGTAGCTCTAACAGGGTTATCTTATGGAATAATGAGCTTTATTTATTTATTTTTTCTTTTAATTCCTCTGGTTGTGAGAAATGAGATCAGGTTTGACTTGTTTATATCAAACGAAACTATATTTCCATTCAGCTACATTTCCTTTATTTTTCCTAAGGACTAATATCTCTTTTTACATATATTTTTAATTTCAGGCTCCAGTAGTTGTGAAAAATGAAATCCTGTTTGACTTGTTTTCAGCAAATGAACATTTACTCTGCAGTGAGGTATGTAGGGAAGTTTTAACTGAAGCCTGATTGCAGAATACCTTCCAGACCTGCTTAAAACAGTTCCCAGACCGTCAATTTCAGTTCTCCCTTGCTCACCTCTAAGTTTTGGTATAACTCAGTATTTTATAAGCCAGACATTCAAAGAGGAAGAGAAGCCTCTTCAGTTGAGTTTAATGAGCAAATGGTAGGAAAATGTTAGCCGTTAGCATTGCCGTGCCCCTATTCTCCTGCCCTTAGACCCAGAGTAGCTGGGATCTCACCGATCTGGGTATTTCTCCTCTTGATGCACGTGCCTAGCAATTGACATGAAGTTGCTTGGAACTTGCTCTGCATGATGCTCAAGGGCAGGGTGTCCTGATGTTTGACATGCTAATGCAGGGAAAATCTCACCTAAACACCTCCACCGAAATTTCTACCCTGGATTTTCTCCATCAGAAGTAGACCTGTTCCACTCCCCTAAGGCGGTTATATCAGAAGCAGGGCATTTTTTAAAAAATTATTTTCTCCCAGAAAAAAATTCTGACCCAGTCAGAATTAATAGTCATTATTGATTCTGACCAATATTAAAGTCAAAACATTTCTTTCTTCAACCAGGATGTACTGATTAGTATAATGTTATCTCTGAACTGTTTTATACTTTATATTTTAGTCTAAAATATGCTTATTTTATGATCCAAAGCATGCACAGACTTCAACTTTTCATTTTTTAAGGAAGTATAAAATATTCTATAGCAAAATTCCCAGATATACATACAGGAAGATACCTGATTTACCTTTCTTTTTCAACTAAACTAAACCTGAAGAAATGTCCTAGATAATGTAAATTAAGGAAAACATAAATCTTATAAGGTTAGTCTCAAGTATTTAATCTTCTTATAAACCAGGCAGTGAAATACGAGATGATTATTTCAGAAAATCCGATAATACTAAGGGTAATGTCTTTACTTAAAACCCACTTGACCCAGAGATTTTTTATACATTGTTTCTATTCCCTATAAAATGCTGGAAAATAGATAGCATAATCTGCATTTTACAGACTGCATTACATAAACTGCAATTTAGAGATGGTGAAATGACATGCCCCAGAGCAGAAGGATCTGAAGGAAGATTCAAATCCTGGTCTGTTTCGGCTCTGAAGCTTAACTCCCCACTGTGCCTTGCAGCCTGTTGAAAACTCTGCAAGTGGGAATTTTACTTAGAGCACTTCTGCACCTACAGATTGGCATATGAAATATGAGACTTAGAGGATATTTAAACGTGTGCACAATTTTAATTCTTTCTCATATCTCATTCCTCGTCTAGCTGATCCTATTGACATAAAAGAGATCATTTTCTTCTCAAACTTCTCAACCTTTACAGAGGGGTAGCTTAATAATTTATAAAAAGTTAATTCCAAAATAAAATCACCCCAGCTCTCAGAAGCATTCATTCTCTCTCTCTCTCTTTGTGTGTCACTCACACACACACACACACACACACACACAGCTGAAATAAAGGTCAATGTCAAATGAAGGTCAATGTCAAATGGAGGTCAGTGTCAAACCACTGACCGTTTACTCTGGAAACAGCTCTTAGCTGAGTGTTTAATGTTAATTCTTTTTAGCCTGTATTGTGACTATATTTCCTGACAACAAAGACAAGAACTATGACTTTATTCTATAAGGTCAGAAATCAAAATGTGGAGCACATTACATGTAGAATTTAATATGAAAAAGTAGATTGGAAGTAGGTTTTCGATGGGTTTCCCACCTAAATTACAGTACCAACAATGGAAAAGCAACTGATTAACACTAATGGCTTTTGTCTCTAGCTGATGAGATGGATTATCAGTGAAATCTATGCAGTGTGGAAGATATTCAATGGAGCTACTTTGAACAATTACTTTAAAGGGAATGCAGGGGAACCTCCTCCTCTCAGCTGGAAGCCCTGGGAACACATCTACTCTCTGTGCAAGGCTGTGAAAGGTCACATGCCTTTATTCAATAACTATGGAAAGTATGTCGTGAAACTTTACTGGATGGTAAGTAAGTTCACATTCATGCACATTAAAATTCGTCTGTCCTTCATATTGAAATATATTTGTCTTACACGCTGTTACCCAGGCTAATACAAGATCATGCAGTTTATACAGGACATCAACTGTGCCGTCACTGGGAAGATATGTCCTACACATGTAATTTGGGATCAATAACAAACATCGTTGTTTGTCCTGAGACCCCAATCTCACATGCTTTTTACAATGGTGTTGCTTGGACCATGGAGGGGTGGTCCTCTGCTATCTCTGTCCTTTCAGGAGGTTGGGCTGGGTAGGCAGGTGGATGCCTGGGGCTCTCTTACTTCCTCCTTTCTCTGTGGTGTGGGATGGGGTCTTGAGCAGAGGGAGTGCTTGAGCATGGTGCATTCTTTCTCTCCTGGTATTTGCTGCTCCTGGGGGGCCTGGTCCCACCCAGTCTTTGCCCTAAACTTGAGATTTGTACTCATGTTTACAAATCTTACCTTGACAAAAAGTTTTTGCTTCTGCCTGAAAGGGAGTAAATGGGATAGTAGAAATAGAGAATTAAAAATCCCCTAGTTAATAAGGCAAAGTAGGCTCACACCACATTTAGCAACACTAGACTATGAAACACCTTTGAGTTTTTGTTGGTGGAATGGTCTTTCTAAAGGCCCAGACTCATAGGCAGGGCCAGCTACATGATTTGCAGAGCCCCTTGTTAAAAAATTATTAGGAATGTCAATATGGTGATAGCAACACTTAAAAAAAAAAAAGCATAGGGTCCTTCTAAGTGTGACTGTGCAGGCTGTACACCCAGGAAGCTGGTCCTGGTCACTAAGGAAGAATGTTCTCGAACGTTTGAGGATGTGGGGAAGTATGAAAAGTTAATCAACCCATTCTGTATTTCTAAAGAACATGACTCTCCCCAGTGGGCCAGAGTCATCCATCTTTCCTGGGTTGGGGAATGCTGAAAGGCCAGCGCTTAGGAATTAATGGGGTCATTACAGCAGGAAGGTAAAAGTGAAGAAGGTAATATTGGCCTCTGATCTCTAAAATAGGATTTTTGGTGTTTTGATGTTCACTGCAAGATAATGGACTTTGAAAGTCAAAACTTGGCGAGGAGAGAAAATGACTTCCTAAATGTCTTTATCTTCCTTGGTTACAAGAGGCAGATTTGGCAGACAAGAGTTCAAAGTTTTAATGTGCACCAAGGAGTGAGAGTGAGGATATGGTATTAAGAAGGTGGATGCACCTCTGCATATGTGGTTACGGTTGAGGGATTACAGAGCGAAGGCAAACACGGGAAGAGTGAGGAGGCCGAATGCCTGGGTCTTTGCCCCCTCCCCCATTTTCCACACATTTGCTTACACTTGAGGTGGGAGTGAGTTCAAAATTATTAAGTATTACAAAGCACCATCAGTGGAATATTAACCAGCCCTGTAAGTTTCTCTTTCTCTGCTTCCTGACATCCATCCTTCTTCGCAAATTTCCTTTTGGACAGAGGGGCCAACATTTATTAACACTTCATTCCATTTTACAAAGAAACTGTGATTTATTTCTCTTTAACTGTACTGATTCCTCATAAGCCCAAACCCACTTGGATTCAGAGTTAAAAAAAATATTTACTCCAATTTGAAATTTCATTCTGAACCCATCATTTAAGGAGTCTAGATAGGTAGCCCTGGGGAAAAGAGGGGCCTGATGTCCAGTGGCTTCTTCTGGCTCCTCACTGGTCTCACCTGAGGAATGGCTTGTGGGGACTGCTGCTAAGCTGTTGAGCACTGAGATACAACATGTTCCAGATGAATTATTTTTGTAGCAATTTGTTGGCGCTCGTGGCTTAAGTGCAAGGCCATATTCTTGCTCACTGAGACTGAGAGAAAGCTTTACTGGCTCTTGGCATTTCTAGATCCACTTATTGATCCCCATGGACCCTTCAGGGTCCCGTGCACACAGAGACCACATCCTTCAAGATAGTAGACACCAAACCATGCCATGGAATGAATACGGATGAAGATAAAATACGGTAATTATGTAGATGAACCTAGCAAAAGTCCTGATGAGGAGTAGATTTTCAACACTATTAGTATCTTACCTTCTTTCATGTATTCCTTCCTTCCCTCTTTCCCATTGCTACTACCTTCCACTATGAAAGCCATTGCATCAGATCCTTCCTCTTTCCACCTCTCCCTAGAGCCAGGGGAAAAGCATGTGATCAGCTTACCAGGTGCTTACTTGCCCAATAACCCTGTTCTTATGTGAGGATGTGAAGATGGAGGGGACACACAGAGATGGTGGCAAGGCTGTGTCCCCTGCTCCTGCAACATAGCCTTGCTGTGTGTCCTTTGCCAAACGTGCTTAGTTCCTGTCAAGTTCTGATGCACAGTGCTCTAGCATCCCATCAAATCTGTACATCCCTTATATACCTCTTGAATTGCCTATATTTTGCCTACTTATAAAACAGGTTATTTAAAGTTTTGTTATGGAGTTGCAAGTGTTCTCTTGTATGTTGCAGATAACCACATAATGTGGGTGTAGAAGTGCTTTGAAATTTGTCTTTTAACCTTACATCTTCCACCTAACTGAGACTTGTAATTTTTATGTAGTTGATTATGTCATTATTTTTCTTTACTGAATCTAAGATGTATATGTTATTTAAAGTTAGATATCACTATCTTGGGGTGCCTGGGTGGCTCATTCATTAAGCGTCTGCCTTTGGCTCAGGTCGTGGTCCCAGGGTCTGGGATCGAGCCCCACATTGGGCTCCTGGGTCTGCAGGAAGCCTGCATCTCCCTCTCCCACTCCCCCTGCTTGTGTTCCCTCTCTTGCCGTGTCTCTCTCTGTCAAATAAATAAAATCTTTAAAAAAAAAATAGATATCACTATCTCAAGAATATAAAAAATATTTCCCCTTATTTTATCTACTATTTTCGGCTTTAAAAAAAAATATTTGGGCCTTTGATTTGTTTATCTACTGCAAGAAATAAAGACCTGGTTTATTTTTTATTCTAAGTCTCAGCTAATTGCCCTAGGATTATATATTGAATGTTGCACCTTTTATCCACTAATTTAAAAAACTACTTTGATCATACACTACATTCTAACATGGATTTGTCTTTGTTTCTGGACTCGATTTCCTTCTGCTATTTTTCTTGTCCTTTTTTGTTTGTTTGAGAGAGTGTGTGTGGGAGGAGGGGCAAAGGAAGAGGATGAGAGAGAATCCCAAGCAGGCTCCACACCCAGTGCAGAGCCTGACTCGGGGCTTGATCCCACAACCCTGAGATCATGACCTGAGCCGAAATCAGAGTTGGACACTCAACCGACTGAGCCACCAGGTGCCCCTTTTCTTGTCCTTTTTAAATACCATATTGCTTTGGTTGTTATGAAATTTATTGTTTGTTTTTATTTTTTAGAACAAGATCAGCCTAATATTCTTTTGCTTCAGTATTTTCTTGGCATACATGCTTTTTGAATAAACATTTTTATTGGTATTTATCTTTGAACACATTTATAATTATGTATCCTTTATTCTCTCTATAAAAGGGTTTAGTGCTTATCATCCTGCTACACCTTCTCCTCTCTTGAGTATTTTATTTTGATTCATCTTTCATTCAGCTGGAATATGCATTCCAGAATTTTATTCGCTTGGAATATATATATTGCATATTTTGGGTAATTTTAAATATTGAGGTCTATTTTCCTTTATATATTGATTGCTATATGAATGATAATCTGCTTACATTGGACAATACTTTTTTGTTTTCGAACACAACAGCCAATGCCTGAGTATCTTCTGGTTTTAGTGTTAAAAACACCATTCTGAGGCCTTTACTCTACACCATATCTGAAACCCTAACACTTTATCTCACTTGTCCCTGCTTCATTTTTCTCCAGAGCACTGGGTATGGAGCATCCCATGCCCCAGCCTCTTAGTGAATTCATTAGTATATGTAAAAATATATAAGAAGCTATTGCCCTCTAGATGCTTTCTTTATTCAGGCATTTTGCTTCAATGTATATTTCTTACGTTCATATATTGGTCCTACCTACAGGGTTTTATTTTTTGTTATTGAAGTATAGAAGACACACAAGTTACATTAGTTTCAGGTATATAACATAGCAATTCAGTAGTGTATATATATATTATGCTATGCTCATTTGTCACCATTCAATGGTCCTAAAACCACAGACTATATTCCCCATGCTGTATCTTTTATTCTCATGACTTATTCTTTCCATAACTGGAAGCCTGTATCTCCCACTCCCCTTCACCCATTTTGCCCATCCTCCCATCCTCCCACTTCCTCCCCTCTAGCAACCACCAGTTTGTTCTCTGTAGGTATGGGTCTCTTCCTGCTTTTTGTTTATGTGTTATTTTATTCATTTATTTTTTTTTAGATCCTATGTATAAGTGAAATCACATGGTATTTGTCTTTCTCTGACTGACTTATTTCACTTAGCATAATACCCTCTAAGTCCATCCATGTTGTCACAAATGGCAAAATCTCATTCTTTTTTTATGGCTGAGTAATATTCCTGTGTGTGTATGTGTGTGTGTGTGTGTGTGTATCCCACATCTTCTTTATCTATTCATATATCGATGGACACTGGGTTGTTTCTATATCTTGGCTATTGTAAATAATGCTGCAATAAACATAGGGGTGCATATATCTTTTCAAATTAGTGTTTTAGTTTTCTTTGTTTTTCTAGTAGTGGAATTACTGGATCATGTAGCATTTCTATTTTTAATTTTTTGAGGAACTTCCATACTGTTTTCCACAGAGGCTGCACCAATTTACATTCCCACCAATAGTGCACAAGGGTTTCTTTTTCTCCACATCCTCTCCAACACATGCTATTTCTTGTCTTTTTTATTCCAGCCATTCTGCCATATGTAAAGTGACATTTCATTTTGGTTTTGGTTTGCATTTGGTTTAGCATCTTTTCATGTGTCTGTTGACCTGTATGTATGCTTTGGGAAAATGTCTATTTAGATTCCCTGTCAATTTTTAATTGGAATATTTGTTT